GTGGTGGACAGGTTTTGATCCAGGAGGAAGGTCATTCCTTCATATGGCTGATGCAGTTAAGGGAATTAGGAAGGATCAATAAATGCTGGCCTTGCCTGCAGCACTTATATCTCATGAACTAATTTAAAAAATGCTGCGTTGCATGATTGTTTCTTGCCCAAGCCCAAGCCTAAATGTTATCTAAGTCTGACTGCGTGTCTGCACATCGGAACAGACCGTTACATTACCCAAACAGCTACAGATGGTGCTGAACATTTTACAAACATATCCAAACCTGAGAACCTATTACGGAGGGGGTCTATTGATGAAGTTGGGTCTTGGAGAATAACCTGAAAAACACAAGGGCTTCTGTGCCACGGTGTTAATGTCCCTAGCTCTGACCCAAGAGGCCCAGGTTCCAGTCCTACCTGCTCCAGACGTGTAATAGCATCTCCGAACAGCTTGATTAGAAATTTCCAGCAAAAAAAAACATAAATAGGTACTAGAATGGTACTAGAAACAAATGTAGCTTGAAAACATTGATGTTCTTTTGGTGCAGTGGTAGTGTTTCTTCCGCTGAACTAGGAGGCCTTGGCTCAAGTTTCACCTGCTCCAGAGGCATGTGATAACATCTCTGAATGCGTTGATTAAATATATCTACACAAATTGCTGGGCTATATTGAGGCACCGTTGTGGTACATGGTTATGTCTCTATTTCTGAGCTAGGAGGCTTGGGTTAAAGTCCCACTTGCTCCAGAGGTGTACAATAACATGTCTGTGAAGGTTGATTAGATAATATCTAATCTGAAAACATGGGGACTCTTGTGGCACAATGGTAGTGTCCCTGTCTTTGAAACAAGCCTGGATTCAAGTCCCATCTACTATGCATTGTGTCATAATATCACTGAACAGTTTGATTAAAAATGTCTAACTTGAAGGCATCCTCTCGGGCTGCAATAAATGGATTCCAACAACTGGAACCATCCTCCTTTGTGCTAGGTATCACTCCAGCCAGTGGAAAAAATTCACTCGAATACCCATCAAATACTCTTTTGCTAAGATTCCTTGATGTTATATTCACCCAAATGCAGACTTGATGTTAAGAATAATCACCTGTATCTCATCTTTGGAATACAGCTGTTTTGTCTGTGTTAGGATCAATGCTGTAATGAGGTTTGGAGAGAATTGACCAAAGGGGGTTGATTTAGCTCAGTTAGCTGGATGGTCGGTTTACAAAGCAGAGTGATACTAACAGTTTGTTTTCCATCCGCCCAATGGCTGAGATTATCATGAAGGACTTTCCTTCTCAACCTCTCCCTTGCCTAAGGTGTGGTGGTCCTCAGGTTGAATCACCACCATTTGTCTCTCTCTAATGAGAGAGAAGCCCTATGGTCTGGTAATAACCTGGTGGCTTGACTTGACTAGTGTGTGAGTGTCACTGGATAGCACTACCAATAACAACTTCACTGTTGATGATTGGGAATAGAAGAATAGAATATATTGGGAATGATTGAAGAGGCAGTAATTGGCTGGATTGGATGATTCTGCTGCTTATGGTAAGCAAACCTGGTTAATATTATGTTGGTCGGATGGATGCAGGTGAACAGAACTCGTGTAGTTCTGGAGCACAGATATTCAAGCTTAAGCTAGGATCTTATTGAGATCCTACTTTGCTGTATTTAATGTTTCAACCATACCTTGATATCACACGGATTGAATTAGCTGAAAGCTGGCAATTGTAATACTGAGAACCTCAGGCACAGGCTGAGTTGGATCAACCACTTTATGCTTCTGACAGAAGATGGTTATGTACGTTGAACTCATCTTTTGCTCTTACTTTTACTGTCTAGGCCAGCTTTTGTTTTCCATCATTGAATGCCCTTCAGGAGGTGATGTTGAGCTACCTTCTTGAACCGTTGCAGTCTTTAGAGTTAGGAACATGTGAAGTATTGCTAGCAAGGGAGTTCCAGGATTTTGACTCAGAAGCAGTGAAAGAGCAGCGGTGTTATTCCAAATTAGAATAGTGTGAGATTTTGAGGTTACCTTGCATACGGTGGTGTTCCTGTGCATCTGCGGTTCTTGCCCTTGAGGATGGTTGAGGTCATGTGTTTGGAAGGTGCTGTTGAAGGACACTTGGTGGGTTGCTATAGTGCATCTTATGGATGGTTAGCTAGTAGATGCTGGCACTGGGCATCGGAGCGAAGGAAATGAATGATTAAAGTGGTGAATGAGCTGCCTTTTAAGTGGGCTGCTTTGTTCTAGGTTTGTTATAGGTGGCTTCCTTGATTCTTGTTGGTGCTGTGCTCATGCAGGCAAGTTGAGAGTATCCCACCATGCTTTGGACTTCATAGCATCATACAATCCCTACAGTGTGGAAGCAGGCCATTCAGTTCATCAAGTCCGCACTGACCTGCTGAAGAGCATCCCACCCAGGCCCACCACATTGTTGTAACCCTGCGTATCTCCTGGCTAATCCACATAGCCTGCACATCCCTGGACACTATGGGCAATTTCGCATGGCCAATGCACCTAACCTGCACATCTTTAGACAGTGGGAGGAAACCAGAGCACCGGGAGGAAACCCACACTAATACAGGGAGAATGTGAAAACTCCACGCAGTCAGTCACCCAAGGGTGAAATCAAACATGGTCTCTAGCACTGTGAGGCAGCAGTGCTAACCACTGAGCCACCATGCCATCACTTATAGATGTACCTAGCAGATGGTGAACAGGCTTTGAGGAGTAAGAAAGTAAAAATGAAAGTTATTCATTGCAGAATTTCAAACTCTTGTAGCCGCAATATCCAAATGGCCGGTCCAATTTAACATCTGGTCAATAGTAACCCCAGGATGTTGACAGTGGGGGATTTGGAGATGTAAATGACATTAAATGTCAACAGGAAATGGTAAGATTTTCTCTTATTGGGAATGAACATTGCTTGGCACTTATGTTAAGTTTAAAGACATGCAAGGTACATACGTTTCAACTTAACAAAAATAGATGACAGCCATTCTCTGATTCATCCTTCAGTGCAATGCCTTGATTAATCAGTCAACCTACCTGGTTTAAATCTGACTGCACTGAGCTATTCAATTGATTTTGACTTCCAACTGAGTCCCAACTACTCAGAGCCAGTATGGTTTTGTTGCTGTCACAGCAGTGCATTGAAAGCATAACCAATCATTTCCTGCATGGACTCTGTCTTTTTCTGTCTTCTATTTCCAACCAACTGTGATGCACTAACTGTTTTTCAGGAAACCTAAACTGTTTTGAGTCATCAGTTGAAAACTTTGCAAGAAGCCCAGTCCCTAATGCTAGGCAGAAACAAATGTAGCAATCCTTTTGAACCTTATGTTCCCCGAATGTGCATTTTCCACAGATTGCTTGCCTTCACTATAAAAATATCAATAAAAAAATAAAGATTTCATCATAGTGTTCTCACTTCTTATTGTTACAGGGAGATGGGGGCCTTGTGATACTATCACTGGACTAGTAATACAGATGCCATCTTAATGCTCTGGGTCATAGGTTCAAATCTCTCAATAGCTGCTGCTGGACATTAAAAGCCTGAATTAATAAAACGTGGAATTGAAAACTAATCTCAGTAGTGGTAACAATGAACCTATTATTGTTTTTTTAAAAAATCCCTACCGTGTTCATTTATATCCTTTAAGGGATGAAATCTGCCAGCCTTACATAGACTGGTGTGAGACAATCTTGTCTCATCACTTGAATCTCCTGAAACCCCTCCCAATGATTTGCATGGATGTCAGGGATTGTTCCTTTGGGTCCACCGGACATTGTTCCACTCTTTCTCACCAAGCTCCCATTTTCTACAGAACAAGGAAGGGGAACTGACTACTGGCTTACAGCTGAGGCCTAAGAGTTCAAACCACCCAGGCTTCACGCTGTTGTTCTGAGAATTGTTGGTTTTGTCTTCGGCTACCAAACACCAAGTTCCCGCCCTGAGTTACAATCAGGGAGTTTACTGTTTCTATTCCTGAAACATTGTCATTGGTTCTAGTGTGATAGAACTACATAATAAAATATAATTATTATTTAATAAATCTGTTGGTTGATAAGAAATAAACTAATTTAGTACAAATTAGTGCAGCACAATCTAATAACAAAAACACCTAAACAGCGAAACTCAAAGTGCAACAATAGAAGGTTGTACAAATGAATTACAAAAATAAGCAGGGCTGGAATGAATGTTTATGTTGTTCTCATTATCTCATTCCGTAACTTGATAGGTTTTCACTGTTGTTGTTTCTGATGTGATTAAGCGTCTCAATTGTATTACAGCTTGTCAATTGTTCTTTATTCCTTATAGAGTCATACAGTCATATAGCACAGAAACAGACCCTTCAGTCCAACTCATCCATGCAGACCAGACATCCCAATCTAATGTAGTCCCATTTGCCAACATTTGGCCCATTATCCCTCTAAACTCTTCCTATTTGGATGTTGTTAAACTTGAGAGGGTGCAGAAAAGATTTACAAGGACGTTGCTGTGACTGGAGCAGCTTTGAGTTATAAGGAGAGGCTAAATGGGCTGGGACCTTTTTCACTGGTGCCTCGGAGGCTGAGGGGTGACCTTATAGAGGCTTATAAAATCATGAGGCACATAGATAGGGTGAATAACCAAGGTCTTCTTCCTTGGGTGGGAGAGTCCAAAACTAGAGGGCATAGGTTTAAGGTGAGAGGGGAATGATTTAAAAAGTTACCTGAGGGGTAACTTTTTCACGCAGAGGGTGGTGTGTGAATGGAATGAGGTGCCAGAGGAACTGGTGGAAGCTGGTACAATTACAACATTTAAAAGGCATCTGGATGCATAGTTGTATCTTAATATGTTATGATTTACAGCAATAACACATTTTTTTAATGCACCTCGTTGAGATTTTTACAGAGAAAGTATGTACTGATAACCTGCATATTGTTTTAACATTATTTTGTGAAATGACAGTTAGAATCTTAAGTTTAGCAGTGATTCACTACTATTTTCTGTGTTTTTTTTCTAGAAAATGGCTCTGGGTCTGGCGAAGGAGGTATGTTTATATCTTTTTAAAAATACCTTACGTACACTTTCAGGTATGAAATTCAACCCCATAGTAGTCAAAGTAGACATAGAAGGTAAAGATTCTATAGAGCGTGCAGTCACAAGCATGGGCTATTAGTGTTGCAGTGGGAAAGGGGCACAAATGGTTCCCTTTCATTTCTCTACATGGCTTAGATCCTATCAATTTCTCATAATTTGAGGAGAACTTTTTTTAGTCTATTCAATCTGGCTATGAGTTCTAAACTAAAACATTTAACAAAGCAATGACCTCTTTAAAAATGTTAAAAGTCGATTTTGTTGCTATTGAATGTATAGACATCTTCAGCATTTCAAAAGAACTACCATTTTCACAGTTTCTAATGTCTCCATAACTTTATGAAGGTCATGACTATTTAATCTTTTTTAGAAAGTTCCAAATGGATCGAGAATGTAAATAGTGCCAATCTTTTATTTTAGAAAGTCTGTTATAAGGCCCAGAGTTTTCCAGTTGCATTGAAAGGAAAAGCTGTGCTGAACCGCTGTTATGAAAATGATGCTGTCAAAGTATAGCAGTTTCACTGTCTGATGATATTGACGTCATTCCCAGATATGATTCCAATCAAATATTGTGATCTGCTTATGGCTTTTTATTTTTTGTTTAGCTGCCCTCCAATTACATGTTTCATGCGCCAGTCATAATTCAAAGTAGTGGAAAGGAAAACAACTGACAGGTTTCTCTTCTGCCAATACTTGAGCTATCACTAGTATTGTAGAATTTTTCAGAGATGACTTACTTTTTCAATATGTGTGCCCCTTCCTGTTGAGAAGTAGCTTCGGATTAATTTCTCCCTGATGGCACAGGCAAGATTGAGAAAGTGTATGAGGAATTATATATGTAAAGTCAAATTCAGACAGCCAACACATACTACATTAGCAACCCATATGATGAGACACAATACTAGTGATAAGTATTTCTGTGAAATGCATCTCAGAAAGTGGTAACCTAACTTAAAAATGCAAATAGTCACATCAGTTCTAAATCATTTGGCACCAATTGGCACCAATTTGATGACATTTGACATCCACTGTTGTTTTGCCATTTTAACCATAGAAACATGAGAATAAAGTATGAAGATGTCAAGAATGCTCATCAGTATAATGGATTTGGTCCTAAAACATCTACATAGTTCTAAAGTATGAACTGTTCATGCCATCTGCATTTCTTGCTCCACAATTTCAATAGAAACATTGGCACTTCTAAAATAAATGTGTGAACACACCTTGCTAAAATAACAAAGGAAATTCACAGACTAACGCATTAAAAGTTCATAAGCTGGAATGTATGGCAGAACTTAAGATCCTCTTTATTATAAACCAATGAATTTTAACTATAATATAACTTCCAAATAGTGAGACTGAACCTGGTGTATTGAGTATAGTTTTCGTCTCCCCGAGTATCCTAAGAGAGAATATAGTTGCCATAGAGGGACAACAGCAAGGGTTCCCTAGAATGATGCTAGGGATGACAGGACTGTCATATTAGGAGAGATTTGTTCAACTAGGCCTGTATTCACTAGAGTTAAAAAGGATGAGAGGGGATCTGATTGAAATATATAAAATTTTAACAGTGATAAATAAACTAGGTGCATAGAGGATGTTTCTAGAACTAGGATCACAGTCTCAAGATATGGGATAGGCCTTATAAGGAAGGAGATGCAGAAATATTTCTTCATTAATAGGCTGGTCACCCTGTGGAATTTGTGACCACAGAAGGCAATGGAAGCTGGGTCGCTGAGTGTATTCAAGGAAAAGATTGATAAATATTTAAATATTAAAGGCATCAAGGGGTATGCAGGAAAAGCATGACTATGGCGTTGAGATAGAACATCACCCTGATTATATTGCATGGCAGAGTAGGCTCAAACAGTCAAATAGCTGACTTATCATCCTAGTTTTTATGTTTCACATGAATCAGTTCCATTTGCCAGTTCATAATTTTTATTGGAGGTGATACAATAAGAGCATAGTAATTGATTTCAGCTATGTTGAGTTTAGATTAACACTGAATCATTTGTGTTTTCCTGACTAAAACTGCTGCATAAAATACATGACAAAGTCTGATTCAGTGCAAGTCTGTAATAATGGAGGGGAATGACCCAGTGGTGTTATCGCTGGACTATTAATCCAGAGAACCACGCAATGTTCTCCCAGGGCAGATAGTGGAATTTGAGTTCAATAAAACATCTAGAATTAAGTTTCTAATGATGATTTTGAAACCGTTGTTGATTGTTGGAAAGACCCATCTGGTTCACTATTGTCCTTTGGGGAAGGAAACTACCATCCTTACCCGGTCTGACCTACATGTGACTCCACACCCATGGCAATGTGGCTGATTCACAGCTGCCCTCTGGGCAACTAGGGAATGGGCAATAAATGCAGGTCAGGCCAGCAACACCCAGATCCTGTGAATGAATTAAAAAAAATGGCTGTGTCAGGGAAGCAGCAAGTTAACAATTCCTCATGAAAACAGTGAGAAGCCAATTGAGCTATTTAAAGAAGTGATTCTGAGATAGTAGGAACTGCAGATGCTGGAGAATCCGAGACAACAAGGTGCAGGGCTGGATGAACACAGCAGGCCAAGCAGCATCATAGGAGCAGAGAGGCTGACGTTTCGGGCCTAGACCCTTCATCAGAAAAGGGGGAGGGGAAGGGGGTTTTGAAATAAATAGGGAGAGAGTGGGAGGCGGATAGAAGAGGGATAGAGGAGAGGATAGGTGGAGAGGAAACAAACAGGTCGAAGAGGCGGGGATGGGGCCAGGAAAGGTGAGTGTAGGTAGGGAGTTAGGAAGGGGATAGGTCAGTCCAGGGAGGACGGACAGGTCAAGGGGGCGGGATGAGGTTGGTCGGTAGGAGATGGAGGTGCGGCTTGAGGTGGGAGGAGGGGATAGGTGGGAGGAAGAACAGGTTAGGGAGGCAGGGACGAGTTGGACTGGTTTTGGGATGCGGTGGGGGGAGGGGAGATTTTGAAACTTGTGAAATCCACATTGATACCATTGGGCTGCAGGGTTCCCAAGCGGAATATGAGTTGCTGTTCCTGCAACCTTCGGGTGGCATCGTTGTGGCACTGCAGGAGGCCCAGGATGGACATGTCGTCTGAGGAATGGGAGGGGGAGTTGAAATGGTTCGCGACTGGGAGGTGCAGTTGTTTGTTGCGAACCGAGCGTAGGTGTTCTGCAAAGCGGTCCCCGAGTCTCCGCTTGGTTTCCCCGATGTAGAGGAAGCCACACCGGGTACAGCGGATGCAGTATACCACATTGGCAGATGTGCAGGTGAACAGCTGCTTGATGTGGAAAGTCTTCTTGGGGCCTGGGATGGGGGTGAGGGAGGAGGTATGGGGGCAGAAGTGATTCTGTTGCTTTTCATGAATGTGAAAGAAATTTAATGATAACTTATGAATTAAGTATGCAGCGCAAGGCATCACAAGCCATCTGATCGTCAACCATCTAAAGAAGCTGGCATCCAGGCACGGCCTCAGACAGTGCAAAGAAACTGAAAGACAGCCTGAGGAACTGAAGGATAGCATAGAGTTGAGGTACAGGACAATGCTGCAGAATTGAGGAGCGGCATTGTAGGGGAATGCATTGGTGTTTGCAGCATCTCAGCAAGGCAAGTAAAGATACAATTCCACAGTTACGTGGTAAATCGGTGAGACATGGTTCCCATTGGTGGATGTTCCCTACAAGGGCAGTGGCCTGTGGAGGGATTTGATGCAAACATTGGTCTCACCCTCTCAGTCTCCATGGACTCTGAGCTGAGGAGCAGTGGCACAAAAGGAGGGTAGACCGCACCGTAGAAGTAGCAAAGCGACAGCAGATCACAGAAGGAAATCAAAGGGAATGGTAGCAAGAGCAAAACTGAAAACAGATTATGTTACATCCCAGAGTTTTCTGGACTCGAATGAACTATCTCCAGATGTTAGTGCAAATAAAGACTTTGGCTGGCAAGGGAGACCATCACTGAACTGTGTGCAATGTGGCAGGACAACTTGCGACTGGGACTCAGTGGGTACCCAATGTCAGTGGTATTGAAAGTCATTGTTGCATTAAACTTCAACACACCTGACCAACAGAAGGGCTCCACTGGGGGCATAGAGTCATCGGAAATAATTTACAGTGCAGAAGGAGCTCTTATACTGCATCAACTAATTGCAGGCTTCCCTCAGAACAATCCAGTGAATTGTACTCTCCTGCTCAGTCGCAATAGCCTTTCAAGTGGGCCTCCTTGATAAAAATGTTCTTCCTCGTTCTCCCTTCTATCTCTTTTCCTAAAATCTTATGTTTGTGCCCCATAGTACGTTACCATTAGTCGTAATCTTATAAAGATGTATAAAATCACCCAGCAATCTCTTTTGCCTCAATGAGAGCAACCACAGCCTAAAAAGGTCATCAACCTAAAATGTTAACCCTGTTCCTCTATAAAGGTGCTTCCTGTCTTGCTTTTCTAGCTTTTGTTCATAATTCATTACCCACTTACAGAATCACAGAATTTTACAGTATAGAGCGAGGCCATTCGACCCATCCTGTCCGTATCGGCTCCCGAAAAAGCTACCCAGCTAGTCCCATCCTCCAGCCCTATCTCCATAGCCCTTGAACTTCATCACTTTCAAATATATATTCAGCTCTCTTTTGAACCCTCCTATGGAATCCGCCTCCAGCACTCTCTCAGGCAGCGCATTCCAAATCCTAACAACTCTCTGAGTTCCTTCTTGCTCTGCAAATGCTCTTGCTAACAATCGTGTGACCCCTTGTAATTTGTCTGTTATACAGTACAAAATGAATGGCTTTGAACAATGTCCAAGTCCATAGTTTAGTGAGAGTTTTATTTCAATATCCACACTCTATAAAGCTCACAACAACTGATTACCAGCTCCCACATTTCTACAGCTATTTCAAACGCAATTAGTATATCCATCATCTCTTCCCTTATCCCATTAGGTCTCAGACACCCTTC